CCAAATCCTATTTTTCCTACTAAATATAGAGGTGAAAATAGGATCTGCCGTAATTAACACCATTTTATTAAGTACCATATAAAATGACGATTTTAACTAATTGTACCCGATTACCAACTTATTAGCATATTTATCGTAAATACATTGATATTAATTATTAAATTAGTTTTTAAAATATAAATACAGTTGTTATTATTAACAAAATATTAATTCTAATAATATAAATATGCTTATTTTTAATTAATTTGTATATTTTGTTGGTATCAATGTTTATTAGTTCATTTCTTTACTTAACTAATACGCTAATTGCTATTAACAAAATATAATAAGCAACAATATAATGATTAACGAAACACACTTTAATTGATGAAATACAGGACGAGATATTTATAGACATTTAATATAATGATAACATAATTTTTAAATTATATAATTAAGAAAATTTATTACTTAACATTCGATCTATAATTAATATTTAGGAAATAAAATATTATAAAATTACGATTAACATTAGATTTACAGTTTTGGGGCATATATGGTGAAATGCCATGGGAGACCAAACCAAATCCCATTTAATGTAAGTGGTGAAATGGTGAAATATTATTATTTTAATATTTGGTCTAAATTTTGGTGAAACCCATTGGAGACCAAAAACACCATTTTTCCACCAAAAATAGTGGAATTCTTACAAAGTGTATCCAGACGGCAGGGCAGCTTTTAAAGAGGGCCCAGGCTCTAATCAGATTGGAAAAATTGTGAGATTGGTCGGAGATGCTTTAAATCCACTAACAAAATCGTAATCCGTTTGAATACTGTGTTTTTTTTAATAATTTTTTTCTCTCTTTTCTACACAAGTCGATGTTGATTTATTTGTTAATACAATTTAATTATTATATATTTCAATTTTTTTTCCTTTTTGCATTCGTGTGCATACCACGGGGAGAATTGCTAGTTAAAAATAAAATAAAATAAAAAGAAATTATTCAATATGTATTTAAATAGGAAATTATTTCAAAATATGTAAAAATTAAATTGGGTAAATTACAATCACCCCGAGGTATGATCAAATTATAAAAAACCCACTCTTGTTTGGATAATTACATCTACTCTCAACTATGAATCTTCTTACACCTCCATCCTTATGCTGTCAAATTCAACATAATCATCTAGATTTCGTGGAATGTGCTCTAGTTTGTACTCCTGTTGTTTAAAAATACAGTTTCTGATGCACCAAAGATGCACCAAGATCTGATATATACAAGCCAAAAAACACATCTTATGATCATCTTGTTTCAAAATGTGGAGCTCGAATGGGACAGAACGGGTACAAAAGTAATAATATATATTCCATATAATCAAGAAAATTCCACTAAATTTGAAACCACAAGTGTAGACGTGTAAGAAAATTTATAGTTGAGGGGTTATTGTAATTACCCAAACAGGAGGTCGTTTTCGTAATTTTTACCATACCCTAAATTTCTATTGGCTCTAACCTTTTCAATAAGTTTTAGTTATATTTAAGAATTTCCGAAATTTATATTAATGCGGAATGATGATAAGTTAGCCGTTGAAGGCTTGTCTTCTTTTCAATTTCCTGTGGCTGAAAAATGAAGAAACCATAGCTCTTTAAATTGGTACCAAAACTCATTCATTCATCCACAGAAAGGCGTTGTTACTATTCTCCCCCAACCACCGCCGCCGCTCCTCCGCCGCAGTTAAATGGCGGCAACCGCGGACTTCCGCCGCCTCAAATTCGTTTCATCCGGAAACACTCCCAACCGCCGCCCCTACGCCACTAATTTTACTGCCCCGATTTCATTTAGCGTAAACAAATTCGAATTTCAATTCCACCCTAGAAATTACTTATCCACCGGTAAATTCGATTTTTTGCACCACAAACGGCGTCGTAGTAGGTTGGGGGTCTGCTGCCAGGCCGCCGGCGCTGGTGTTCAACCCCGTTCTGCCGCTTCCGAGAAGGACCTTGCACTCACCGCTCGTGCGGGGAAAGACCGCCTATTGAAGGTACCGAATTCAATTTTGAACTATTAGGGTGTAATTGATTACTATCTCACTCAGACTAATATATGTGCTATTCTTCTGATTGTACGTATATGTGTGTATCGAGAGTTTAGGTGGCTTCGTCGAATATAAGGAACTTCTGCATTATAGCACACATTGACCACGGAAAATCGACACTGGCGGACAAGCTGCTTCAGATGACTGGGACAGTAGAAAACAGAGATATGAAGGAGCAGTTTCTCGATAATATGGACTTGGAGAGAGAAAGAGGCATCACCATCAAATTACAGGTCATCGGTATTATAAGTTCGAAGAAAATCATTTTGTATGTGTACATAAAGTATGTGCGTACTGCTTTGTTGCCAAATGCCAAATTAAGATGAATATATGGAGAAAATTGTTTATTAGCTGCGTGTTAGTCAGCACATGTATGTTGTTTATGTTTCTTCATAGCGTACAAAATGCATGTGACATAGTAAAGAATTTATTCGACATGTAATAGTTGAAAAGTTATGGCTTTAACTCTTCATGTACTCAAATTAGATGCAGCCGAATTAAGTCGTTGTAGAACTTATATGGCATGAAGACTTGTATAAAGTTGTTTTATATTGACTTGGGGAATACATTTAGGAACTACTAAAGGTTACTTGTGAATAGGGAAAAAATGACACTTGAGTAGAACTTAGTTTTCTTTCTTGCAAGGGATATCATGTAACTTCAATAGTTTCAAGGATTTTATGTGTCAAGCTAAGGTATCACAACCTAAAAGGCCATCCTATTTGATGAAAGAAAGCGAAGAAAAAATAAAATAATTGCAATCAATAGTTGTAATAAATTGATCTGAGGATCTCATCCAATCTTGATCTAGCTACAAGCATGAACTTTCTTTTTAAATATGGAAAGAAAAAATGTTAAAAACCAGGGTAGCTTGAAATCTATCTTTACCTACTAGCACTAGCATGTTGCATACACTGTCTCCTATGGTTGGTTTTCGTGATGCTCGCCTGCATTCTCACATAGTGCAAACTTGAGAATCTACAATATCATTTTTTGTCATCTAAAATTTTCTCTATTTCATTGTAATAAGTTTACTTTTCATTTGTCTCCCTGTAACTTAGAATTCCAAATTTTTTATATGATGAGTAAAATCTAAAGTATGAACCCTCAACTGAGTCTGTTGTTTTCATTGTGATATTTTAGAAGAGTCATTATTGAGTTTTGGATTTTTTTTTTTTTTTTTTGTTTTGTTTTGTTTTTTGTATAGGCTGCAAGGATGCGTTTTATGTATAACAATGAACCATATTGCCTGAATCTTATTGATACACCTGGTCATGTTGACTTCTCCTATGAGGTATGTTTCTGAAACAATCAAAGAATAGTTGTCACTCAGTTGTCTGATAAAAAATGGTGTTGATTTCAATATATTCTTATAATCTTAGGATAAGCTAACATTTTATTTAGTCTGACAAACCATCTCACAAGATAAAAGTATGCTCTTTCTCTGCAGTTGAATGTTTTGAACTGTGGTTAACTTTTTAATGATAACTCTGTATTTTACTTGTTATAATATCATGATCTCGTATCAATTTTAGGTTTCTCGCTCTCTTGCCGCCTGTGAGGGTGCTCTTCTTGTTGTAGATGCCTCCCAGGTACTTTTGCATTCTTTTCTATTTACCGAAATCATTTTTTGCACCAGTCATGCTGTTTATGGATGAGTTCGTGAATAGTATACTTTATCATTAGTAACTTCAAAATGCGATAATTATTATTCCAAATTCCCAATTGAAATATTTTATAATCTTGTAATAGTTAGTTGTTGTGATCGGGGTTTAACCTTATTTTTCAGGGAGTGGAGGCCCAAACATTGGCTAATGTTTATTTGGCCTTGGAAAACAACCTTGAAATTATTCCAGTAAGTTTCTGAACCTAGAATCACTTTTGAGTACATTATTCTGTTCAGATTTTACTGTTTTGAAGTATGCTAAGGGCCCTTGGGAGTTTAATTAAGTTGTAGAAACATAGCACATGCTTTAAAGAAGCACACGTGTCAAAAGTGCTGATTTTTATGGTTAAGTAAACCATAAAAATCCAACATAATCAGAAATCAGAAGTAAAATGAAATTTTTCTTTACTGAAAAATAAAGGAGGGAGGGAGTTACCTAGCAAAAAATCGTAATCCAGAATGAAAAAAAAGAGACTGAAAAGAAACTGGTAGTTGTTTAAAGAAAAGTAATCGTTAAAGAGGATACATGGCATACTATGGAGTTACGAGTCATGACCCACTGACTCTTAATCTA